AAAAAAAAAAAAAACTTTCAGCACTCTGCATACCTCAAGTTAAATTAACTAATATACTGAGTTTGTCTCTTATCTTATTGCATAATCAGTGAGCAAGGTCACTAATTCTTACACAACTCAAATATGCAAGTCATATATAAACTATATTGATGTCTAAGGTAGAGATTCGAACATGTTTTACACAGAAAAAAATATAAGAATTCAAGGTTTCTTTATCACTTGAAAAGTAATTGTACGTATAGCTAATCCGCTCATGCCCATAATGCATCACGACTGTAGCAACTCCCGATGAAAGAAGGAAACTGCCATACCAAAAGTAGTTCAACTATGCTATAGATTTGTTGATTTTATCTCTCACGATCAGAACATAGCCACAAACACAAAATAAACAAACAAACTACAGCAAAAAAAAAGGATAACAGGTTCTTCCGTCCCTGTAATGATCATTTCCAAAGAATCACTACATGGAGACCCTATCCCGATAAAATCAAATGCAACAGCTGTTAAAGTAAATAAAAGATTAAATCAAATGCAATAGCTGTTGAAGTAAACAAAAGAAAGCGGGGCCAGATAGAGAAAGAGCAAACATACCATATTTTTCAATACCATCAAAAAGCTTCACAATGTCATTTTTCAAAGTAGCAATCTGGCATAGGATAGAAGGCAGATTAAGATCAGAATACTATATTTCTGCCACCGGAGTTTTAGAAATAAAGGAGACTAACCGCCCACATACGAGAGTATTATGAATAGAATCACTAAAAATAAGACAGCATAATGGGTCGTGTTATCATATATATCACATCTTCAGGGTAAGTAATCTCATAATATTCAAGAGAACACATCTGATGATTAATGCATTCGATAATTATTTTACAAATTAGGTATAGAAAACTGGAGAATGCTATTATAATATAGGTAAATGACGGAACAAACCAGGATAAACTGCATCACTTGTTTGTCTTCAACATATTTTATGAAGATAAGTAAAAGGCAATATGATTTTAACGAATTCCATCACAATATGTTAGATATAAAGACAGATGTAACCCTCACCAGAGAATGATCAATCTCAGAAGATGCTAAAGAAATAACTCCAGCCAGGGCTTCCAGGGCTATACCTGTAAAAACAAATCACAAGGTAGGCAGCAATTAAAAAATAACAAACCAAAATAAATAAATAAATTTTGCATCAATAAAGGAATAAATTAAATAATCAAAAGAAAATGAATGAGTGTATTGTTAAGATAAGCATTTGTAACATGAAATAGACGTGTGATACTTAGTTACTTACCGGCAGCATCATTACTAGATTCTGGGTTGTTTGAACTAAGGCGCCACCTCCCATCACTCTGACTCAGAGACTGACAGGCAATGTATTAGGGATTCAGAAATCCTACATAGAGTTAGTACATACAACAAATTTATCGGCCAGAACATGAAACATATCCAGAGTTTACCTTGATAGAGCGAAATATTTTATCAGCATCTTTGAGGTGTACATCAACTTCAGAAGTCTGATCCTGGTTTCCAGATATAGAAGATAAGGTGAGCTCAAACTCAACATAGAATATAAATTCCTTATGCCAAAAGAACACTAATATCAATACACTTATGTTGACTAATAACATTTTTCATTGAATACAATTATGTTCACTAACAAATTTCTCTGCAATAAAACCACTTATATTAACTCCCAGTAACTTTTTTTTGGAAACAAATCCCGGTGAACTATTGAATGGGAGTAAATTTGAAAGTTCTAATTGAATGAAGCACGGTACCTTCAAAAGGACTAGACCTCCTATGGAATAATAATAATCTTAACTCCCAGTAACTTTTTTTGGAAACAAATCCCGGTGAACTATTGAATGGGAGTAAATTTGAAAGTTCTAATTGAATGAAGCACGGTACCTTCAAAAGGACTAGACCTCCTATGGAATAATAATAATCAAGAAGTGAATCGGCAGCATTCAGAGAACCTGTCAGTTTAGCTTCAGCCCCCTGGCATTGAAAGAAAGATAAATGGGTAAAATACAGTTTCCCATATAATTAGAAGATATGCCACGAAGAAAGACATGATAAATATAATATATATATATATATATATATATATATATATATATAAACATAATTTTTACTACCGTAAAAGCCTCTTTCTTGAGCTCACACTTCAGTATGCCATTGACTTTTAGAGCATGAAATAAATCCTTCACAGTGGAAGAAGTAGACAATAGGGTGCTTGCTACAGATGCACAAGCAGAAGTCTTAACATCAGACTCCTTTTTAATCCCAAGAACCTCAAATGTCTTTAATGCCTCGTACGCATCCTCCAGGCTGGAAATATTTGCAACCAAGTGAGAAAGCCAACTATTTTAAATAACCAAGCCAAATCTATTCTTCGTATCGCAACAAAGGCGCAATTATTGTGCAAATGATGCCACTTGGCTCACCCCCGCACCAAACAAATAGAAACGAAAATGCTTAGCAAAATTTCTGAAGATTAAAACTCTATGGCATTGTTCACAATATCCTGTTCTCTTTTATATTATTCTACAAACAATGTGAAAAACGCGTAGAAGTATGAAGGAAAGAAATGCTATCAAAAATTCAACCAAACTAGCTTAAGCAAAAGACCCGAAAGGCCAAATAACCACAAAACTAGAAACTTGAGTCGTATTTTTCTTTAGCCGGCATCAGTAACCAATTCAACCACAATCTCACGGTCTAGCTATCGCAAAATAATAGATCTCTCTAATCAACAGTACAAATTAAGTATCAAAGTCAACCAAATATAAGAAACCAGCCCTTCTCTAACCGCTACCACAATTCATAACCACAAAGCAGCCAAGTTTTTCCACAACACTGAAACATTCAAAACGTGATTAAACCACCAAACAGCTCATACCCGAGAGAACATGGGTTTTAGATAAGTTTCGAAACAATCACCTTCCAAAAGATCCATCGCCTGAAGTACGAAAAAGCTCCAATGCCGCTGATCGATGAGATTCCGACACCGGACCGAACACGGCCGATTCACATCTCCACGCCAACACCAACAGTCCCACAATCATAAATCCTAAATTCCGCGCCATGCCTGGAAATAACTAAGCCAAATCAAGGATGATCAACGAATTTAAAACCCCAGGATTAACGATCTGTAGGAGAATTCGATAGAGATGTGAGAGCGCTTACTTACTGTAGATGAGAATTTGCGAGTCTTCGTTCCCAGTGACTGAGAGCAGAGTTTTGAGGTAGAGCTGTAATAGCTTAAAGAGACCAAAGTCTACAGGCGTGACGTATTGTGGTATTCCAGTTTTACCCCTGCTCTGCTTACTACTGGTTTAAAGGCCTGGGCCGGGTTGAACTCTTGGATTTGTTGAGGTTATACTTTATGTGAACTGAACCAGGCCCAACGACAAGGGAAGATGTTTAGGTGAAGTAAAAAGCTGATAAACATAATGAGTCGCTCGTGAATTCAATTCGTTAAGGTTTGAATTTAGTTCAAACGAGTCGATCTCAAGCTCGTATAATTTATGAGTCAATAAACTCGACTCGTTAAAGACTCAAAAATAAAAAATAAAAAAACTTATGCTGTTTTATAAAGTTCAATTCGTTAAAACTGAATTTCATTTACTAAAGCTCGATTTCAGCTCGTTAATATTAATAAGCAAGTCGAACTCGGAATCATTTGTCGGTTCGTTAAACTCAGTTCGGCTCGATAATGTCTCAGCTCGAACTCGAATATTAGAGCACCCCTCGTGAAAAAGATGGATCATGGGTGTTTGTACTTAGAAAATTGAAACAAAGGAAAAAGAGAGACTGTATGCAAGTTCTTGTTTAACAGTTTTTTACTTCTTTATCTCTGCAAAAACTATTTATTATTAACAAATGAAAGTATCTTCCATTATTATCAATATAATATGCTAAACTGATAACTGCAACCTCGGAAATTATATTCGTCTAACTAATACTTTCCTCATCACAAATTGCAACGATCAAATTTCAATCATAAAGTGCAAACATATCCCACATTGCAATAAACAAGAGCAATCTCATTGCTCAATTAAGGATTAATTTATAGTTATTCCTCCATTCACACACAGTTGCAAGAGAATGATATTAACTGATCATTGTTTTGTATGATGAATCTAAGATTCGATATGCCTGAACACGGCGAAAAACTTTCTGACGGTCATTAGGAGCCAAGACTAAATGAGGTCGCACAAAAAACATAAAAAAAAAAAGTTAATAATAACGAAACAATCGGGTTAAGTAAAAGCACAAAGAGATTACGATAAAGCACACTATTCCTATCGTGTATCACTATTTAACACACACTACCATGATAAAGCAAGAAAAATCCCAGTTTCACATGTTTGCCAAAAGTCATCACACGAATTCGAATGCACAACATTTTTCACAAGAAAAGTCGAAACACTAAAATATCTTCATTTCAGTACATATATATAAATCCCCAAGGGAAATCAGTACTTTGGCGGTGGTTGTTGTGTTGGCAGCAAACCGAAACGTTTCTTGAGTAAAACTCTCTGCCTTGAGTATTTGTCGTCCGGGGAAAAACGGGCTGCAAAATGGAGACGAAAGCAAATTCAGGGGCATATAATCAAATATAAAAAAATAAATTTAAATAAAATGCCCACACCGGCAGAATAATAAACTGCTAATTTTATTCTTTCAGATGAGCTAAGACAGAAATGATATATCTAGTGTGTGCCGCAAATTCATATGATCAGTAGGAGAATTTCAATATACTAAAGATCTTAATTTGCAAATATAGTATTTCAATTTGGTTGTTCCGATACGAGATGAATGAATCCACAATTACTTGATTCCAAGTAGTTAACATGAATCTCATAGTCTGCTACGAAACCTTTCGTAACTTCTTTTTTCCCGACACTCCATAGAGAATATTAACAACGAAAGGAAAACAAAAAATCAGAATAATCAGCTTAAAATGCTCTAAAGTCCATAATTCATATAAGTACATCTCGGAGGCACATGAAAAAAAAAAATTAAATAAAAAAATACCAGTCTAACATATTCGCAAAGGTATGAACAACCGCTAATTAAAGCTATGTTTGGTAGACAAATAAGCTACATATATTCAAATAAGCCTTGTTTGGTAAGACGAGCCTTTTTAAAAAGTTCGAGCTTATTTGATAAGCTTTTTAGGTAGTTTTTCAAATAAGCTAGTTGAATTTTTTATTACAGCTAGATTATCAGCTAATTTTACCAAACATTTTTTCATATAAGCTAACTTTTCAGCTATAAGCTATAAGCTCGAAAATTACTCATAAACTATAAGCTAGCTTAACAGCCTGTTTTACCAAACATAGCCTAAGAAAATGGCAACAATAAAGATTTGGATTTACCGGGATGAGCAGATTCTGTGGCCAAACCTAGGGGTGTTTCTTTCTGCAATGAGCGAGAATCGCAATTACCAATCAAGCTCGAATATGATCAAATGACTCCATGCTTTTCATATATTCAGAAAAACTGAAATCTGTATTCTCAGTTACTGTAATCTAGATACACAATTCATAAAAAAGCATCATCAACAAAAAATTACTAAAGTAAAACACTACATTTCATCTTCCGACATAAGAAAAAACGAAATAACTGCAAAAAAATTAAGAACGATTGGGTACAATATTTGTTTCATCTTATAATTTTTACATAAATTTAATAATTCATATACAAATTCCACTAACACGATCAATATTGAGAAGTACCTTTGTGGTGTAAACTTTGTCGCCATTTTCGTTAATATAGAATTGGAGATACATCTTTAACAAATTTTGGCCTGCACTTATAATCCAAAATAATGAAAAATCAGAACTAAATCAGGCTACAACTGAGTTGAATACTACATCATAGGCCATAAAATAACGCAACGATAGGGCAGAAATGAGAGAACTCATACTTCGGAGATAAATTTACCCAAATATTGTTCAATTGATGTCGAGTCTGAACTTTAGAGTCTCAGAGGCGGTCGGCAATTAGGGTTCCAAAACATAAATTGTGAAGTTTATTCAGGTCGGTCCGAATTTACATTTTTCTTTTTCGAAAACGATAATAACATAATACTATGGGTACATTTTAAAATATATATATATATATATATTTAAAATTAATAATAATAACAACAACAATTGTTTTAATTTTTAAACATTTTCAATATTAGTATTTATATTTAAAATAGCATCGTCACTTGCACGACATACCATCTTATATTATATTTTTTATTAATTTATGTCAAATAACTATTTTTGTACTTAAGTTTATTTTAAATAATTTTATTATTTAAAATAAATATTATAGGTAATATAATTTTAATTATAAAAATAAATAAAATTGTTTATTTATTTTGTATATATAATATAGATATCATGTCGAATATCATTAAGATATGACTAATTGATATATTATATATATATAAAAAATTATTAACTTTTAAATATAATTGTAATTTAAGTTAGTAAAATTTATTATCCTGTTGGGATCCGACACCACGGGTATTACTCTGTTGGGGTCGTTTTTAGTTTTTTTTAGTTGTTCGAGTTGTTATTTGCTTAGTTGGGAGTTTTTATTCTAGTGTTGCTAGTCGAGATTCTAAGCGGTCTTCTGACTTGTCCTCCCACTTTTCAGCTGCTGGCTACTTGTATTCGCACGTTGTGCCCTTCTGTTTAATAATTTCTTTCTATCGTTTAAAAAAAATAGTAAATTTCTTCTAATTTTACAGAAAAATGTGAAGAAAAAAGAAAGATTGGGAAAAAAGTTATATCTCATAGAAAACGTTTACAATAGAAAATAATATTAAAAATATAATTAATGTTCTTAAAAAATACCAAAAATACTCGTTATATGTATGGATATTCCAAGCCTGTTTATTTGGAATTAAAATAAATTAAAATTATACAAATAAAAAACAAAGCTTAATAATTTGTCACATATGCTTCGAAACGTGTGAGTCTGTCACTTAAGCTCAACACATTCGAAAATTATATGTGGGGAATTTAGAAGCAAATTAACTAATTAGAAAGTTGAATCCTGATCAGAGGTATGCCCAAAGTAGCTTATAAGTACCACAAAACAAAAGAAACTACAAAAACTGTCACTGGTGGAGAATACATACTCCCAAACGAAAGAATACATGATCCTAACGAGGAGACAAAAATCATACATGATACTAAACGGGCGAATACATGCTCGTAAACAGAAAAAAAGAATCACAAAACACACACGCACAAAACAAACACAAAAGTTAAACAAAATACATAAAATAGTTACAATAAAGCCTTCTTCGATAGTCGACCAGAAGCTCCGAACCACAAACCCGAGACCGACAACCGACACCGAACCTAAGAAATCAGACCACAACCCGAGAAACATACGCCGAAACTCCCTTATGCAAATAAGAGATGGATAACGACATCCGTCGACACCCGAGCCCGAACCCACTTACAGAACCCTACAGAAGAAACACACTGAGGTTCGCTCCTCTCTTTCCCCCTAACATGTTGCCGCAAGTACAAGAGCCTCAACCAACAGAACTTCCGCTAACACCCAACCCTAGGGAACACCAGACAAAGAGCAGGAAAAAAGAAGGGTTGGCCCAAACCCCGCCAACCACCAATAGAGGGCGATGCCGGCAACTCCATATCACCTCTGAAACGTCAGAAATGTCACACGGTAGACAATCGAACATGAAGAAAAGTTGCGTAAGAAAAGATACATTGACATGACGAAAAAGGCGAGGTTGCCCTGATTCTTGTCAACCCCGAGGCAGTTCGCTGAATAGGAGATCAGACGAAGATCAAGAATTGCGGCCGAGAGTTTTTGGGTGAAGGATCTTGTTAGAATGTCGACGTTTTAACATTACTAATGTCTAATAATAACAGCAAATTGTATTAATCAACAATAATCTTGTTCATGTTAGTGCATGTTTGTTAAGGTATATTAGATAGGATGTGACAAGATATCTACCTTTTTACCTTATTTGTTAGCACAAATTAAGGCCTTCAAGCCTTACGTCGACCTGCGACCCAATTTGTGGAAATGTCATTTTCTCGAGACAAAAGACTCTGAGGAGGAAGGGCAAATTGAGTTGGTATGGACAGTGTAATGTTTGTAAAAAGAAGCTATTGTCCCCCAAAAACCAAAACACCCTTCTAATGATGTTGATGAATTTATAGAAAAAAAAAAGTCTCACATACCACATGCGACTGTTCTCATTTTTTCATGCGGCTGCTTCTCACCTACTTTACTTTGTAATACGAGAACGCGATTTTGGTGAGTGTTGAGTCGAACATTATCTGTTATTTGCTGACTCGAGCAGGTATCTACGACTTTGTTATGCGTAGTTTTCCCCATACCATATCTCATTTCTTTGTTCCAGGAGGTAGCCCTGTTTTTGCTAACTCGAGCAGGTCGTGTACTTTTTCTCTCCACATTTTAGGGATCAGATATTGGGGGTTTTCTCCATCTCGGACCCACTGTCAGATCGCAAGGCTCCTTCGACGATGCTTGATGGATGTGCTTCCTCATCGTCAGTCTCCCTCTCGGCTTAAATATTATTGGAGTTCAGAGCTGAGACTCGTCTCCTCGCCAGATCTAACTATGCGCTTAAGTAAATTCGTAGTTTTTGGCCATAAGGCCTCAGATTTGCAGCTCTCTTTGGTTTTTTTGTTGGGGAGATTAACTTGTGGGTTGGTTCGGGTGGCCGTAGCGGTGTGCTCACGAGAAGCACGAGAGGTTGAATTATATTGTCTGTAGATGTGTATTGGTTTTATTTTATTTTTTTTGTATTTTTTGGCACATATACAAAAAGAGACCCAAAGCAATGTGGGCACTCTAAGTGCAAAGAAATTTGAGTCCCAACTTGTCTTGTTCTTTGTGATATCAATCGGCACTCGTTTTTTGGAGTTATATATGTTTTATATGCTCCTTTAAAAATTTTCAGCTGCATAGACCGCCAATCAATTGATGTATAACCCCGTGGCCTCTTACCCGCCAATACATAATACGTCATACGCAGTTAAAACCAGTCGGCAACTTCCGTAGAACAATTATAATTACGAAATCCAAAAAGAAGATCCAAATCCCAGCTGCAGATTATCGAAAATGGTGAACCAATCATACAGCATTCAAGTGAGTGGCATGCAGTTCTCATACGACGCTCGTTCCCCTCTGTTCTTCGATTTCAATCTCAACATTTCCAGCGGATCCCGGTGCCTCCTCGTCGGCGCGAATGGATCTGGTTCGTTTTTTTCACTAATCATCTGCAGATTGATTTTCAAAACCCTAATTTGGTCTGTTTAATTGTTTGTTTGTTGCCTGATGGTGGTATTTTGAGCAGGCAAGACGACGCTGCTGAGGATTTTGGCGGGGAAGCACATGGTGGGCGATAAAGACGTGGTGAGGGTGCTGAACTCGTCGGCTTTCCACGACACGAGCCTCGTCTGCAACGGCGATTTGGCTTATTTGGGGGAATCGTGGAGTAAAACTGTGGGCTCAGCTGTGAGTTTTTTCGGCTATGGCTCGCTCACTCTGTTCTTTGATTTTGTAATGTCTGAGTTGAAATCTTTAGCTTGTTGCTGGTACTGGTTGTGTTGGTTAGCATGTGAAGCTGTGATGTGTTATGGACTCATGTCATGTATGGATATGTTTTTGGCTAATTAGTTGTCGGTTATGGTATCATGGGATGTGGTGGAAAAATGTAGTTTTTGATTTGTGTGTTGTTTACTGTGCCAAGAAAAAATACCAATGTATTCTATGCATTATCTAGTGAAATCGGCTTTGGCTAATTTTCCATATATTTTTGCTGAAATCTCAGGGAGAACTTCCACTACAAGGGGACTTCTCAGCTGAACATATGATATTTGGAGGTGTGTGAACTAGATGTTTTCATGTTAATTTTGTATACTTAGACTAATTTACTGTATTTTCTGGTGTCTTCTATTCAGACCAATCATTAGTTCATTCTTTCAATTGGAGGAATGTTAATGCCCATCTCAGTTTTGGGAGTCTACCCGTAGCTATGGATTTTCTGATATTTATACAACTGATTAATTGCCTTCTCTGCCGAGGGAAATTGGATTGTCTTTTTTTTTTTTGCTGGTGCTGCAGTAAGTTCTGTGGTGATACTAAGGTCCTTACATTTTTCCTTGTTATGATCCAGTTGAAGGAGTTGACCCTGTGAGGCGAGATAAGCTAATTGAATTGTTGGATATTGATCTTCATTGGCGTATGCACAAAGTTTCTGATGGTCAAAGACGCCGAGTCCAGATTTGCTTAGGCCTTCTTCATCCTTACAAGGTAGTTTTGTTTGCCTGGTACCCCAAGCTATGTTATCTTGAATAGTGTTATTACTGACTGATACTAAATAAGGAAAATATTATTGGACTTCTCAGCTGTTTCTAGCTTCACTTCACTTTATGTGCTTTTACCTAATAGTTCCATGATATCCATCATTTTTAGCCCTTAGATGTATTTTCAATTGGTCTGTGCTGAACTTGGATGTTTTGGGCGTTGTGATTAGGCATACAACCCATCAGGCATTATCAGTATCCTGTGCTTCTTATCTTCATTATTACTTACGAGCTTGTGGGCTATATCCTTGTTTATTCATGTTTACAATTGTCCCTTTTTTGTTTGGAATTTGCTAACCATGAGGTAGGTTTCCTATCTAGGTACTTTTGCTTGATGAGGTCACTGTTGATTTAGATGTTGTGGCTCGGATGGATTTATTGGAATTTTTCAAGGAAGAATGTGAGCAGGTACGCTAGCTAATTCATTTTGTATTCATTCCAGTGGCTTTAATAGTTAGTACCACTGTCTTCCTAGGCTACTCATTTGTTGTTGAATGCGTCGCCTAATTTGGCTGGTAATTATTTTTCACTACATATCAGCATAGCAGCAAAATGCCAAAATCTTTTATTGTATTTACGTCTTGGGATAATTCCTAAAACTGCCTTTGATGTTTAACATAATTACGAAAAGTGAAAAATCCATCTATGATCGAATGTTGCAATTACCCCATGGAAGTGTTACGGAGATGAATCATCTCCTTGAGGTTTATAATTTTTAAACAAATACTCAAAGTTCTGGTGTAAATGACTGTAAATGACAGGCAAATAACGGCAGGATGTGGGTTTTTTCCTGAAAGATAATTGCTATCTTTTATTTTAATTTATAACAATTTAGATACTTTCAAGTATGGCTATTGTAATCACTAATCAACCCATTCCTTCATTTTGAAGGAAGATTACTCAATAGCTCTTGACAACAGTGTGTTATGTATGTTATGTTCATTTATTTGATCTCACAAATTCTCAGAGAGGAGCAACAATTGTTTACGCAACTCATATATTTGATGGTCTTGAGACGTGGGCAACTGATCTTGTTTACGTTCAAGAGGGCGTGTTGAGGAGATCGGATAAGCTAGCCGAGCTCCAAGAATTGAAAAATAGAGTAAATTTGCTCTCGGTAGTCGAGTCGTGGCTTAGGTCCGAAACTAAAATCGAGAAGAAAAAACCACTTCCTTCTCCCTTTCAAACCCAAAAGCCTTCTCCGTTTGATAATTCTCCTTTTAGGTCTTCAAGACATATGGCTTATTACCGTTGATCTCATCGCCTTTTCAGTTGAATTGTGAACATCCAATATTCCAACAAGACCGAATTCGATCAAACAGTCAACCTCAATTCATTGTTGAATTCTTATTTATATTGCTGTTTTGAGGCATCCATCTGTTTATGGTTATATATAGCGAAACATCATCATTTGTAATTTGTATAATTGTATCTGCTGCGACTGTTTTCTATTTGTTTTCGAGTTTGAAGGGCATTATGAGGCTATTATAAATAATTCAATGTCATAGCAAGTCATTGATGCACTCCTTACATCCCTAGAATTTCTGCAGTATATTTGCAAGATTGTATGAACTAAATTATATTTTGTTTTCATATATTGAATTAGTTACAACTTTGCTGGTGCCTTTGCCTATGTGATCACAAGAACCTAACTTGGCTCACTTCTTTGACAATCTATCTTAACATTTTGTCAGTAGTACTACCGTGTGCCCAGCTAGGTGTGCCCAGCTAGGTGTGCCAGGGCAGATTTGCACGCGCCTCTCTCACCCCAAAAATAAGAAAATTTGGAGAGTGTAGTACACATTCCTATTTTTGCCTTTTTAATTGAAAAATGAGACATATTACATAAATTAAAATATCATTAATTATTTATATTAAAAAAATAAAATAAAAATACCAAAATTCATAATTTTTCATTATCTATAAATAGAGACCACATTTGATAGGTTTTTTTAACACAACCAATTTTTTGTTTTTTTCATAATTTTTCATAATTTTTCGTAATTATTTTATTATACTGACATATAATGAACATGTTACATAATAAAATGAATATGTTTTCAAATATGATGAACATGTTACAGATTGCAGATTGAAATAATACATATTCATCTTATTTTATAATATGTTCATCTTATTCTATAACATGTTCATTTTATTATGTAACATGTTCATTTGTTCTATAACATGTTCATTTTATTATGTATGTAACATGTTCAGTTTATTTTATAACATGTTCATTTTATTATGTAACATGTTCATCTTATTCTATAACATGTTCATTTTATTATGTATGTAACGTGTTCAGCTTATTCTATAACATGTTCATTTTATTATGTAACATGTTCATTTTTGTTCTATAACATGTTCATTTTATTATGTAACATGTTCATCTTATTTTAGAATATGTTCATCTAAATTTTATCTGTGAAAATGCAACATTCTCATCTTATTCTATGACATGTTCATCTTACTCTATAACATGTTCATCATATTATGTAACATATTCATCTAATTATAGATTTGCGTTATAATCTTTCAATAAGATAAATTAATTGTAAAAAATGATAAATCAATTATGTTTCAAAAAATATCAAATGTGGTCTCTATTTGTAGAGAATGAAAAATTATGAATTTTGGTATTTTTATTTTTATTTTTTGTTACAAAATATGAATGATAATTTAATTTATATAATATGATAAATGAAATTCATTACCCAATAAAAATGGGACACATGTCCCATTAAAAAAAAAATACTTACCTTCTTACCTCTCACGCGCCTTTAGAAATGATGCAATTCACATAAGGCCCTGGCACACCTAGCAAGGTGTGCCAGGGCACACCTAAGTATTTGCCACATTTTGTTGTTTTAGTCATGAATTTTCTAACATGTGAGCCTTAACTTATGGGAAAATACTCAGGTCCCGTTACGAAATCGTTCTGTCGGATTTTGTAACCGTTAGATCAGCATGTAACCGTCAGAGATAGTTGACGTGTGCTTTTACAACCACACCATATATATATATATATATATATATATATATATATATATATATATATACACACACATATGGTGTTTGTTTTATCATACTAGTACAACGCCCGTGTATTACACGAGTGCTTGCTAATTTTTTTCTTAACATTTAAAATTAATGAGAAAAAATAGTTGAAAATTTAAATATCTTTTATAAAATTATATATATATATCATTATATATTTAGTATGACACTTTTATTTGTGCGACATACTTGTGTTATATTATAATATTTTTTTAACTTACAATATATAACTACATTAAACATAAATATATTAATTGAGAAATAATTTTATTTTTCTAATAAATTTTAAAAAATATTATTATTTTTTATTATTATAAAGATAAATATATTTTATTTATTTCATATATACAATATGGCTGTAAATCGAAGATCATCAAAAGATGATTACTTTGATATATTATATATGTAAAACCGATAACAAATAAAAAAGTTATCAACTTTTAAAATATATTTACAATTCAATAGCTAATTGAAGGAAACAAATCATAAGTTAGGGATATATTGATCACTTAGTACCTCACTATGTAAAATTATAAAGAATTAAAGGGTTATATTAGTACAAGTGATATTAAAATACCTAAATTAGCTAAATAATATTTATTTATGGAATGTCCGAACCTAAATTATTAATTATTAATATATAAATATTATTGGAAACAAATCAAAAGTCAGTGATATATTAGTCACTTAGTACCTCACTATGTAAAATTATAAAGAATTAAAAGGTTATATTAATATAAGTGATATTAAAATACCTAAATTAGCTAAATAATATTTATGGAATGTCCGAACCTAGATTATTAATTATTAATATATAAATATTATTTGTTTAAATTTAATTACGAAGCACGATTCTTCGCCAAGTAGGATTTCCAAGCACCAGAAACAGCCACTTAGGCTCAGCGCATTCGAGAATTATACATAGGGAGGATATGGTTTTTATCTGTTAGAACTGGGTTTTAGTGCAATGGTATAATTAATTATTAAGCCACAAAATATCACAAATTTTGTAGGTGGTGAGTGAGATTGATTGCTAGCAGGTAGCAGCATCAACACAAAATAAAAGTACTATCACCTTTTCTTGCGAAACACATTTGGATGGATATATATTTCTCCTACTCCAAGACATGTATGTCGAACCACTTGCACCTCTTTTTAATAATATAACACGAGTTAATATAAATATATACCCAATAAATTATACCCAATTATTTATTTTTATTTTTCTCCACAATAAATCATAATTATTAATTTCTACTACTAATATAACTTATAAGTATGGATATTTTTCATGCATAAATAAATTGATCTCTGTAAAATAATCTACTAAAATAAACATATAACAGTACTATAAACTCTTACTATTTTATTTTTCAATCAAATAAGATGGACTACCAATAGTGTTCTTGTTTTGTGATGCGAACCGGGCTTTTGAGTGTACTCGAATTGGGTAGATGATGGCGGATTTAGTTAATTTTAGTTATGTATTTAGATATGACTATTAAGTTAGTTTCTTTTTTTAAATTTTAAATATGTCAGTTAGTTAGTTGTAGGTTTGAATATTTTAATTTGAATGTTGTTTTTGTGTATTATAAATATGACCTATGTATTCATTATTGTAGAATGAAGTTTTATGAAATAAAGATTAAGAAAAATGCTCGTTTCTGAGTACTTTCTTCGTGGAAAACCAATGGCGATTGTGCTCTTTTTTCCACTTATTAATGTGTCAACTAAGGCCGTCATTGGGGGTTTTCATTCGAACCGAAACCGTTAGTGCGGGTTTCTACATAAAATCAAGTCCGATACACGATCTTCATCACTTTGTCAAGGCACAACTAAAAGGGAATTAATACCAGTGGTCCACAGCTGATAATTCTTCCAACTACTACCAATTTCTTCTGTAATGAATATTTGACCAAACAGATGTTGAAGCCTCAGCCAATATTAGACTAGGCAGTTGCTATTTCTAACCTTTGTTTTGGTCACAATATCAGTGTGACTTTCATAATATTAAATATTAATAAAAACAAATATTTTAGTTTAAAGATATTAGGGCTTGATTAATTACTTTATTGCTCGATAGTCTAATGGATTTTGTAGGGTTGACACTACATACATATATGTTTACGTGGTAGTATAAAACTATAAATCATTTTTTGAATTAATAATTTAATTAAGTGATGTATAAAACTAAATGTCCAAGATGATTGCAATTTTTATAGATAAATAAATAATTTTATTTATTGACTCAATATAACTAATTTATCCAACTCTTTTCCCTGTATAAAATAAACTTATCACTATATCCAATTTTTATGGCATGATTGGTATAATGGAATGGAATTTCGTAGGAATAAAATGAATTGAATAATGGAATGATTATGAGAATAGAATGAAATAAGTTTTGTCATTGATGCGTTTGGTGAGCAGAAGGAATAAGACCTGAATGGAATGACATTATCCTTTTTATTATAAAATAAATAAAAGTTTTTTTTAAAAATAATTTATTGTTAATAATTATTTTTTAAAAATATATAAAAATAAAATAATATATTTTTAAATTATATATAAAAAATAATATATTCTTAAAAGTAATATATTTTTAATATTCTTTACTACTATATTTTTTATAACATATAAAAATAAAATAACATATTTTCAAATTATATATAAATGCTTTTTTTTTAGTTTTATTTGTATATAACTACTTAATGTATCCAATTAAACAATAAATAAAAGTAAGTTTTCAATTTTTTTATTTGAATTTTATTTTTTTAAATAATTTTTTTTAATATATTTAATCATGATTTATAATATATATTATATATTTTGTTAATTTTATTTAAAAAAAAAATTGATTCCTACACAATGTGAATGAGAAAATCTTTCATGAATTATGGAATGACTAATCTCATGAAGATAGATTTTCTCATTCCCATTGTAATGGTCATTCCTTTTCAAAAAACATATCAATCATGGGATAATAAATGAGTAATGGCATGATTGGTATACTGGAATGGAATTTCGTAGGAATGGAATGAACAGAAGAATGAAATGATTATGGAAATAGAATGAAACAAGTTTTGTCATTGATGCGTTTGGTATGCAGAAGGAATAAGACCTGAATGGAATGACATTATCATTTTTTATTATAAAAATAAATAAAAGGTTTTTTTTCAAAAAAAATATTTTTTTAATAAATTATATATAAATGATTTTTTAAAATTATATGTAAAAATAAAATAATATAATTTTAATAATATAAAAAATAATATATTTTAAAAAATATACAAAAATAAAATAATATATTTTTAAATTATAAATAAAAATAATATATTCTTAAAAGTAATATATTTTTAAATATAAGAAATAATATATTTTTATAATATATATTTTTATCTTTTAATTAAACAATAAATAAAAGTAAGTTTTGAATTTTTTTATTTGAATTTTATTTTTCAAAATAATATATTTTTAATAATATATAAAAATAAATATTAATATATTTTTAATAATATATAAAAATAAAAATTAATTTATTTTAATAATATATATTTTTAATATTTTTTAATACTATATTTTTAATAATATATTTTTAATAATATATAAAAAATAATATATTTAAATTATATATAAATGTTTTTTTAGTTTTAATTTTATATAAGTATTTAATATTATCTAAATAAACCATAAATAAAAGTAAATTTTCATTTTTTTATTTGAATTTTATTTTATAAAATAATTTTATTTAATATATTTTAATCATGATTTATAATATATATTATATATTTATTTATTATTATTTTTTGTTAATTTTATTTTTTGAAAAATTGATTCCTACACAAATGAGAATGAGAAAACCTTCCATGAACTAAGAAATGACTAATCCCATGGAGATGAGTTTTGTCATTCTCATTGGAATGGTAATTCCTTTAAAAAATGTATACCAATCATAGGAAAAGGAATGAGTGAAGGAATGATCATTCCATTCTCATGTCATTCCTTGATACCAATCATGCCCTAAGAGAATGAACATTTCATTCCCATGTCATTCCCTCGTACGAGTCATGCCATTAGAGATTTAGTAAATGAGCTCTAAAAGAATAATCATTAATAATAACATACAAATAATTATATCATTTGGTCAAGCCTTAATTATGTTTAAATCATATGATTTCGTGTATATATGAACCTGATTTATGTCGATTGGTTAAGCTGTATGTCTCATCTATCATATCATATGAATCAATTTCATGATGCGACCGACGTGCAATAAATTTTTTTATTAATTTTTTCAAAGTTCAAACATAAGAGATTTGAACGTTTTAGTTCAATACGATAATTAATTTTAAACAAAACTTTAAAACTATTTGACCCCAAAACATTGATTTAAGTAAAATTATACATTCAAGAGGTATGACATTTTTATAATATTCCACATGGAATTAAGAAAATTGTATATGGTTTCATTTAAGTGCAATTATTATGTTATCATTTTTGTAAAATATGTACCTTTTCTTTATAGAATAAGAACAATCATTATTGATTGCCTAAATATAATCCTTTTTATGGAATATCATGAATAATTTTAAATTGAATTATTCATTTTGAAGTCCATAGACACGAAGATGTAAAATATCGACCGTTCAAGCTTCAACACTACGTATAAACTTTTTTGAATGAGTTATTTTCAGCATTTAAAACATATTTGTATATCAATGACAACCACCATTTTATTTCTAAAAATCACATCGAATTTTGAATAGAGGTAAGCAACGATGAGATTTAATTTGCAAATTGCAAAAATTCAAAAAACTAAATTGTGAAATCTTCATATCAAAATGTACAACAATACACATAAAAAAAAAATATCGAAATGAAAAATGTCTACGTATCTATCGTTTCGGGAAAAAAAAAATGTCTACGTAATAAATAAATCGAACTGCAAGACATTGCACATGCGGTTTGGTTTTTCGATTTTTTTCTATAAATTTGAGTTCGCTTTGTGCATATATGCAACCGAACTAAAAAAAAAATATGAAAACTAAACCTGTGAAAAAATGTAAGTGAATCACACCGCAATACATATAAAAATGGAAGCCGGACGAAAAAAAAAGAAGTAATGCTATTTAGCCTACTTGGATGACAACTTGGGTTACAACACAAGTGTAATTGTATTATCAAAAAATTAAAAAATAATGCATTTATACTTGAGTTGTTATCCAACTTGTCATCTAAGTAGGCTATGTAGCATTACTCAAAAAAAAAAAACTTGTACACTAAAAAATAGCAACAAACAACACCTAATTGCACGATTCGGCTCGATTTTTTGAATTTTGTTTTAGAATGAGCTATTTTAGCCTTTCTAGGTATATAATCTACATCAATTAAAATAATGGCCAACATTTTATTCAAAGTAAAGTAAGTAAAGCATTTAATGTGGAGAATTGAATATCTGTGAACAATGACAAGTTATAAATAGTGGAGAAAACGTTAGATCATGCGAAGGTTACCTCTGCTTCTTCTCCACACCTGCGAAAATGGCGGATTAATATTGTTAGTCTTTCTCTGCTCCATTTATGTAATAAAATCATCGCTCGCCATTTTTATCCAGTTATTCGGAGATCTAATTTACCAAAGCTCCAATTCTATATTCAACCGTCTGTATATATCCACGTGCGCCGTTGTATTTCGCTGATCGGCTCTCTCTCTCTCTCTCTCTCTCTCTCTCTCTCTCTCTCTCTCTCTCTCTCTCGTTATCTTGAGATTTGGCGGTAAGATAGCTGAATTAATTGAGATTACGATTTTGTTGTTCTTTTCTGATTACACCGTCAATTTTCTTCTTTAATTTGAATAAGGAAATGCATTTTTCGCTTCGTTTGTTGGTAAAGTTGATTCACGGTTTGTCTGTGCTGATGAAATTTTGAGCTGTGTGTGTTTCGAATCGCTTTTTTTCTTTTGATTGGAATGAGGGAACTGCATTTTTGTTTCGTTTTGTTGGTAAGATTGATTCACGGGTTTTCTGTCCTGATGAACATGTAATTGAGCCCAGGTGTGAGATTTGGATTTTTAAATTTGTTTTTTGTCTGCCTGTTGAACGTGATTCCTTATACGTTTCTGGTGTTCAGCCCCATTACTAATCTTCTCAGATACAAGTGAAATTTATGGGTTCCGATTTTCGCCAGGTTCAGAGTTTGAAGGGAAATGAGATGAATGTTGCCGGATCATAATGAGAGCCATGGTCAAGAAGCGCTTCTGTACCTGAGGGAGAACTGGACCCGATGGATTCAGCGAAGAGTTGGTTCCAAAAATTCCAACCGCGAGATCGGCTTAGGTCATCCACGAGGAGGAAGGACTCAATGGGCAGCGGACGTGAAGAACCTGAGGAAGAGCTATCGGCCGAGGAAGCTTCGAACCTCACGAAGCAGAGGGTTGCTGCCGCAAAGCAGTACATCGAGAATCATTACAAGGAGCAGATGAGGAATCTTCAGGAAAGGAGAGAGAGGTATGGTGCCAGTGCGCCATATTAACTCGTCCGTTGTTGTTTTGTATCTTAATTCCGTTGAGAGCGAATGCTGTGGTTTTGTTGGGTTGTTATTCTTATTTGTTGGTTTTTGTGTTGTTTGACATTTTGATTCCTACGTTTTGTTCAAATTTAGAACATAGTGATTTGGTTTTTTGTTGACCTAGAGGACTTACATGAGGAAGACACTGGGGTTTAGATGAAAAACTGGAAACCTGGTTGTCTTTTAGAACTACGCGTAGCTTCTGGATGTTGGTTTCTCTTTTACAAGTTACATCTCTATTTGGGGATATATCTTAGGTAAACATAGACCTTGACCGGACGTATTTTACCACTTGTAAGGGCATATTTGTGATCTTGTAAGAAGAAATAAGTTTGTGCAGTTGGATTAAACCTCAGGGGACTTTTGTGCTTATCTCTAATCCCATTCATTTGGTATGCTTCATCTACTCATTTACATGCCCTTATGCATGGAGTTTGATAGCAATTTGGATGGATGATATGAGATGGTTCCACTGTTGACATCGTGTATTTTGAATTTTTATTATGTGGCCAGGCCATCCCTATTCTTAAGCTGGATTACCCAGCCCAGGGGTCGGTCTTAGGGTTGCCATCTCAATTTTTTATCCTGAGTGCATCACATGCGAACATTAAATCGTAGATTTTGATTGTTTGGTGCATAAGAAAGATGCTTTTGTATTAATGACTATCACCATCACTAATGTGTGTTGACAGGCGAAGTTTGCTTGAGAGGAAGCTAGCCGATGCTGATGTGTCTGAGGAAGACCAAAATAACCTGTTAAAGTTTTTAGAGAAGAAGGAAACTGAATATATGCGCCTTCAGAGGCACAAAATGGGAGCTGATGATTTCGAGTTACTGACAATGATTGGGAAGGGTGCTTTTGGAGAGGTAAGTGTTGCTTTCGTTGCTTTTATATGATAAATTAGTAGCCGAGTTTTATATGCCTTCAACCTGGGCCATCAAAGAGAGAAGTAATAGTTATCTCCTCCGATGATTGGTTATTTGCTGGACAGGTTAGAGTTTGTAGAGAAAGGACAACAGGTTCCGTGTATGCAATGAAAAAGCTTAAGAAATCAGAAATGCTTCGTCGAGGCCAGGTACTTCAACTATTTCTCTTTGAATGATTCTCATATGATTGAGCTTTACCATGTAAATGTTGTAATTGGATCTCTCTCTTTCCCCCCTATCTTTTTTAAAGGTTGAACATGTGAAGGCTGAGAGGAATCTCCTTGCGGAGGTTGATAGTAATTGCATTGTCAAATTATATTGCTCCTTTCAAGATGATGAGTATTTGTATCTTGTCATGGAATATCTTCCGGGTGGGGATGTAATGACTTTATTAATGAGGAAAGACACATTGACAGAATATGAGGCCCGATTCTACATAGCCGAGACAGTTCTGGCTATTGAATCTATCCATAAGCATAACTACATACATAGGTCTGTGTATTGATGGTTAAATGCAAAATTTCACTTAAACTTGTTGAATTATGCGTTTCAACTAAGCATTGTGTTATTTCTATCTTTCTGTCTAAATTTTTCTACATGTGATTTGGTACAGAGACATTAAACCTGACAACTTGCTGCTTGATAGACATGGTCATTTACGATTATCGGATTTTGGCCTGTGCAAGCCTCTAGACTGTAGTACAATACAAGAAGACTTTTCAGTCGGAGATAACCATAGTGAATCTTCAAGAAGTGAGGATGGCTCGGTTCCCAAACGTACACAGCAAGAGCAACTACAGCACTGGCAGAAAAATAGGAGAACACTCGTAAGTTTTCTGAATGCTCATGTGATTTACGCTTTTAGTATAATACTGTAATATGAAGTCAGAAGTCATTGGCTGTAACACATCTTGGTTGGATAGCTTTGCTCTCTGAATCGTTGTTTATGTTCAAATGTAGTAGTGATGAATCCTAACCACTCTGAGAAAGTCACCTTTCTCTTTTGTATTTATCTCCTTATTTTTTTCTGGATTTCTTATCTCCCATTTTTTGGTGCAGGCTTATTCAACTGTTGGTACACCTGATTATATTGCTCCAGAAGTTCTTCTGAAGAAGGGTTACGGAATGGAATGTGATTGGTTGGTTCATAAACCCATAGAGCTTTTGAGTTGCATTTAACTTGGAAAAAAAAAAATGTTGGTTTTGGATTAAGGTGGTGGTAAGTTGGTAATTTTCAGCAATTCTGGAAAATGAGGTTTTTGTTGTGCAGGTGGTCCCTTGGTGCTATCATGTTTGAGATGCTTGTTGGATATCCACCCTTCTATTCTGATGATCCTATGTCAACATGTAGGAAGGTGAGATACGGATTCTTTTGGTACTTCATAAAAGACTGATTATAATTCTCTACATTTCTATAGAGTTCGGTAATTGCACAGTGCATTCTTGCTCTTTTGCGTGAGTGTCAGTGCAAGATAGCTCAAGGAACTATTTTCCCCTCCTCTTCCTTCATGTTCTGCTTTAAATTATTTTAGGTTGGATGAGCAGTTGGACATGATTAAAACTCTGTGTTTTTGTTTGATTCTTATTCATTTGCCCTCTTTTTTCCCCCCCCATTTTCCTTCTATTATTGAGACAGATATAATGATATATCCTTTTATCTTCTAGCTTTTTTGGTTTATTCACCATGTCTAATTAATCGACGTGGTTATTATCTTTTACTACTTGTACCTCCCTACCCTACACAGTTGGATGCACTATAATTATATGTATTAATGAAAAGTTAACAATTTTGAAACTAATACTGTGTTTCTTGTTCTTGTGTGTAGATTGTGAACTGGAGAACACACTTGAAGTTTCCCGAGGAGGCTAAACTTTCTTTGGAAGCAAAAGATCTGATTAGCAAACTACTCTGTAGTGTCCATCAGAGGCTTGGTTCGAAAGGGGCAAATGAAATAAAGGTGTGTTGTTCTTTGTGTTCTAATGCTTATTTTTATTTCATAACTTACTCGAGTTATCAGAAGACAAGTAAAACTATCTGTTTGTTTAGGCCCATCCCTGGTTTGATGGGATTGACTGGGAAAACATATACCATATAGAAGCTGCATTTATTCCGGAGGTTAACGATGAGTTGGACACCCAAAATTTCGAGAAATTCGAAGAGGTAATTGATGCCTTTGAGATCTTGTTAGATGATGAGTTGTGTGAGAGTTCTAGCTAATTTAATGACATTTGTTTCATGTTGCAGTCTGAAAACCACAATCAAACTTCATCGAGATCGGGTCCATGGAGAAAGGTACACTCTTGGTGGTTAAACTTTGTAATTTCATATTTTCCACATTTTTCTCTCTGTTTCACTCTCAAGCTTTTTTCCTTAATTTCCAGATGCTTTCATCCAAAGACATTAACTTTGTCGGCTACACATACAAGAACTTTGAAATTGTGAATGACTACCAAGTTCCTGGAATGGGTCTCTCTCTCTCTCTCTTTCTGTCTGTCTCTCTCTCTCATATTTAAAGCCAGCCATCCTATGCCTGGTTCTACAACTCTCGTTATGACTATGTTTTGTTTTATGATTGTTTTTTCTTTACAGCTGAGCTAAAGAAGAAAAACACCAAGTCAAAGAGGCCGACAATCAAAGCACTTTTTGGTAATGTGTATATCTACTGTTAAATTTTTTTCAAGCATCCACAATACGCGAAATGTGCAATTAATAGTTTTCTAGATGATATGAAATGGAAAGATATAGCGGAAGTAACTTAAGGTTCATGGCTTACCACTTGATGTAAACGAGCTCTCGATTATTTGGTCTCTTTATACGATCATCTAATAAAAGGTTCTCTAAAAGATATTACTTACCCTGTAAACAAGACTTGCTATTAGCACACTTTACGTACCTGGAGCGGTCTGATAATTATGTCCTTTTGAGTTTTAAGCTCCTTTATGATCTTCAAGTTGCCTATCATCTTATCTTCTGTGTTTATTTTTTTTTTAACAGAGGACGAGTCAGAAACATCTGAGACGGCGGATCAATAAATACCAAAATTTGTTACTGAAATTTGCTTTCTTTTTTCTTCCTCTTCTAATTGCTAACATTTACTGAGAGATGCTGATTAGCATATAAATATGTTGGTTATAATATTTTTTTGTTCTTTTTTTTTTCCTGTTTAAAACCTCACAATATTATGTGGATGATGCACATAGATAAAGTTCCATTTTTTTTTGTTGAGACTTGAGAGACTGTACATGAGAATCAAATGGGCTTGTTGCCTAAATAGGGTGACCATCTATATGTTATTGTGTGTGTGTGTGTGTATGTGTTTGTTCTATTTTTATTTTTATTTATTTATTTATTTATTTATTTTGTTCATTGAGTGGGCTAGACCTAAATGAGCTTGTTGACTAAATGCAATAATCTTAGTTTGGCTCATATTTCGATTGGGTATTTAAGTGGAGTGAAACGCTTTTTATGACAAGAGTTTTAAATTTACAACTCTTCGAAATCCTCTTCTAAAATTTAAGTATTTAGGCTATGTTTGATAAACTAGCTAATAAGCTAGCAGATAGTTGATATGGTAGTTTATAGCTTATAACTAGTTTTCGAACTTATAACTTATATTTATGTTTTATAGTTGATAAGCTAGTTTATAGAGATTACGACTGATGATATTGTTTCAACAGTGGCAAAAGGAGTTGCATTAACGTATTACAACTAGTGATACTGTTTCATTAGTGGTAAAATGAGTTGCATTAGCGTTTATACGTTATACATAATCTTGCTAAAAACCAGAATTCAAAAAACATCTAATCGCAACTAGTTGATGTTGCATAGTTCATGTATTGTACGGTAAAAGCAAATCGACGAGTCTTTCTACACAACAAAAGTTTCAAAAGCAGCATTGTTTTTAGTTTGTTGTATAGAGAACCTTTTGCGTTACGGTGGTAGAGTGCGAGTCTTCTATTGAGGGCTTCTGCCAGTGCTATTTTGTGGGCTCTTCTGACTATCAGGCGGCCTCCGGCTCGAAGTGATGTTGGATCCGACGCTAGTGTGTTGTACCATATCTATGACAAGATCAACAAGAGATTAGGAGCGACGTTGAAAAGTAAAGTACTTCTCGATCCGAGTGTTTGCAATTTGCAGAAAGGATGGAATATCATAGCCTTGGAGGAAAAAGAACGGTGTTTTCTCTAATATGTTGTTCGAATATCTTCCAACTTTGAATTTACTTTTGGTGTAAACTGAAGTAGATAAAGATGAGTTAGTTGATCAGAATTTGGACAGTTTCAATTATTTTCTGGTGGATTCACACGACAATGAACCAGTTTTCACAACTGCAGCTTCAAATATAATAGTAAGTTTGCCTCAAAATAATATCAGAGATGGTAATGAAGCTCACTGGGAAAAAGGTTCATTTAATAAAAAAAAAAAAAAAATTGCTAATAAAGAAGTACATTAAAAATCCTTAATAAAATTAGTCATCCCAATTTCAGTACATTTGATTTATCACAGAAACTTATTGCAAACCTTTTTCCTTGTGATTGTCTACTAATAAAAACATTAATGTGAAGAAAATACATCCACAACAACCACAGAAACTTGCACATCAAGGTGTGAGCTCATTGACTATCCCATGAAGTTTTCGATCCAAGACCTCAGAACATATCTGGCCCATCATGTTGTAAAACGACATGAGATCCGATAGCTGCTCGACCGTCATATTCCCCATCACTTTTCTTGCTAATTTCTCCCTCCCTTCCTTTACTCTCAACTTTTCCAAGTAGGAAGATGCGTTCCTTAGTAGCTCCCATTTGCTTTAGTCTGGTTTCTTGTTGCAGGCTCAGAGCTGTATTCGACTGCGAGTGAACCGATTGAAACAATTCGATCATATAGTATATCAACATTTTCATTTTTTTGGAAATGTAAGTAATAACGATCCAAGTTGGTTTGCGTTAGGACTTCGGAATCAAATTTCACTTGAGCCGGACATTACATATACGGCAATTTTATACTATTGTGGGCCAAAATCAGGCCAAGGTAGTTCATCATTTGCACGTGTGACTCGTATTAATTTTATGTACCACCACATCTCCTCCTACATATGTGATAGGTTAAAAGGAACGTGTGCCTAGCATTATGCATATTTACATTTTTATTTTTGTGGTCCATTAATTAGAGTTGAATTAATAATGATGAATAATTGTGATACCTCAAGAAACTCTGCCCCAGCCTCAAGTTGAGATTGCTTAGAGGAAGTGATTGTGTGGGGATGTTAATAGATATTTCGTGCAAGCAAAAAGCTCTTGACGATAACCTTTCTTTTCTTCTCCATTTCCTCATCAAGCCTAATAGAGTTGGGCACACTAGTAGGAGTTGAGGTGGAGGTATTAAGCCTTTTGTGGTAGGCAATTACTGCGTTGACGAACTCTGCATCTATCGAAAAACAAACGTAAAAACGGTGGTATCGTCCTTAATTAATGTAATGTAGGTAGATAGGTACCTTATATGCAAAAGGGCAGCCTGGATAGTCGAAGTCCTCAGAATTGGGACCTTGCCCCTGCCTCATCTTCTCGAGATGGAACTGCAGGCCCATGTGAACTTGCCCTCCTGCAGACAGTAGGCGTCTGGGTTGTAAAAGGCCTCGACTAGTCCATCTGGTGCAAAGGCCATGGGAACGAACCTGTGTGCCAGCCTCCTGACCCCCTGATGATGATAGCTATTGACCCATATCTCCTCCTCCATCCCAAACCAGTGGTGTAGTGGGGTGTGGGGGACGAGGCGTACCGGGTGTCGGTGGGCGTCGTAGTTTTGGTAGTCGATGTGGGCCACCCTCTCATTCGGGGCCACTCTTATCGACAACTCCCTTTCCACGTCTTGGTAAAGGGTACCCCACAGGCCACATTCAGGAGCTGGGAGCCGCGACAGATGCCCAGATACGGGATGTTACGCTCCAGGCACAGGAGGACTCCGTGGTCCAAGGCAGTGTCCGAGGCCTGGATGCGACGAATCTCATCCAAATCCTCCGGGGAGAGGCTGCCATCTGGATTATAGAGGGATGGGTCAATGTCCTCTCCCTCGCACAGGAGGACTCCGTGGACGGGGCCGAAGCTGTCCACCAGGGCGTGGACGCCGCTTACGCGCAGGACTATCACCGGGACAGGGCCGTACCTCACGATCAGATCCAGTTGGTATTCGCCTAATCGTTAACCAAAAACCCACCAAACAGTTGCGACTTAAAATCCAAAATCCAATCTAAAACACTAAAATCCCACCAAATCCCAGAAACCCTAAAAAAACCCGCCTCCCCACACCTGCGACTTAAAATCCAAAATCCAAATCCCGATCCCGAAACGGCGATAATGTTTCTTCGTGTTGCATCCTCTGGACGACCATCTCCGTTACCAGTTCATCTTACACTCGCATCTTCGAGACCTCCTTCTAGGGGTCTTTCATCTCCGTTACCAGTTCATGTTACACTGGCATCTTAGGGACCTCCTTATAGAGGTTCGTTACCTTCATTACAAGCTCAACCCCATTCTCCTCCTCCACTTGGATCATCTTCTGTATGATGTTCTCGCGGTAGACATTTTCTTGATTTTGATAACCTTGACCTTCTAAGACCAGATGTTTCTATTGAATTTGATAGCCTTGAACTTCTGGGACCAGATGAAGTCGTGGAACAGATTATTGGTTCTTACGGGCATATGAGAAAATAGAAAGACATAAAAAAGACATAAAAAAAATCTCCAATGGGCTTTCTATTTGTAGAAATGTGGAAGAATTTTAATATAAAACGTCTCCAATCCTCAATGTCTAGATGCTAATCATAATTACATGGCTGAAAAGAAAAGGAAAAAAAATCTAGCACTCTTTCTACATTTAAAACTCTTTTTGGACGTGATGAGTCAGATTATTTCTCCCACTAACTTCTTTTTTTAATTAAAAACAACAAATTTGTTGAGAAAAAAATTGTTAGTTTTTCTTTTTTTAATATAAAAATATATAGATGGCGTGAAGATAGATATAACCACTGGAGAAATTTTTGTGGCATTGAACTCCTACTTATTCCACATGGATGGAAGACCTCTATTTAATTGCCACATGCCCTCCAATTCACATTTATGGTTGGAGATGCTCTTATTTTTACTCATTCCATTCGACTTTTAAAATCCAGAAGTCCACCACCACTAGGCAGTAAGGTTAAACGCAATTACTCCGATTTCTTGTGTATATATCAATGATCTTCCTATTGTTCTCGCTCTGCTATGATATATTCGATGCAACTTTTTCCCCCACATTGTTCTTTTTTCATTACTCTATTCAGCTTTCGTTGAACGAGATTGAAATTGGAATTTTTTTTCCTTAAATGTGTTGGGATATTCGAGGGGCGATTAGGGGATTGAGGTAGTTGATCTCGCAATCGATGAGTCGTTGGCGGGACAAGTGGAGGGGATTGCTCGTCGGTCATTTGATTTTTCTTCCAATGGGAAAATCGGTTTTTTTTAGGGTTTACTGGAGATTGAGCTCAAGAACATGGTCTTCGGCGAGGACATGATTTTTCGAAAGCTTGTAAATTAAATAAACTATTATGATATATTTGTGTGCTTCAATGCTTGTATTTACACTAGTGTGGTTTCGGCTGTGCACAGCACAACCGAGTCAAGTTTAGCCTTTTTTATGAAAAATGTAAAAAAAATTACAATCAGTGTGTCAAAATATATTATTATAAATAATAAGTAAGATGGCCGTAGAAATCTAAATATATTAGCACCTACAAAATGTAATCTAACAACAATGAGTAAACAACCAGAAATTCTATGGCACCACATGTGGCACCATATTATGGTGCCACAACATGATGTGGCACATTATGATTGGTGCCACACATGATGTGTGATATTTGTGGCACCAATCATAATGTGCCACATCATGTTTTGGCACCATATATTGTGCCACATGTGGTGCCATAGAATTTCTGGTAAAACAACTATAAAGTTGCATAATGATGCATAAAATAGTAGCAAATTTAATGACATTT